CGTGCGTGCGTGCGTGTGCGTGCGTGCGTGCGTGCGTGCGTGTGTGTCTGTGTGTGTGCGTGCATGCGTGTGTGTGTGTGTGTATGTGTGTGCGTGCGTGCGTGCGTGTGCGTGCGTGCGTGCGTGCGTGCGTGTGCGTGCGTGCGTGAGTGCGTGCGTGTGTGTGTATGTGTGCGTGCGTGCGTGCGTGCGTGCGTGCGTCGGTGTGTAAAGTGTGTGTGTGTGTGTGTGTGTGCGTGCGTGTGTGCGTGCGTGTGTGTGTGTGTGTGTGTGTGTGTGTGTGTCAGTCCCTTCCGCTCTGCACGCGGCCGTAATTCAGCCCCCCCGACGCGTCGAGGCCGACATGGCCTCCTCGGCGTGGCCAAATCCCTGCGCTCTTGGGCAGAACATGGTCCCGAATACGCCGTGTGCGGCAGGGGGGGTCCGTGGACACTGCCGCCCCCTCCCCCGCCCGCCCGATGCCGGTGGCGGAATCGCGCGGCAGCGCAACTGGACAATCCTCGGAGTTCGCCCGGACTGCCTGGGTCGGCGCTGGACCCCGCGCACACCCCAGACCGCCGACGCCAGGATTGCTCGTGACGTCGACCCCCAGAGGCCTGAACCCACTCCCCGGGACCGGCTGTTCATCCCGAGCTGTGTGTTGAGGGTCCCGAGGCGAGGCCTGTCCCCCTCGATCTTCCTCGGTCCCTCCCTTCTCTTCATGGTTTCCTCCTCCCTCGGTGTCCCTCCGGGAGCCCCAGAGGCCCCACAATGTGGAAAAACATGCCGCCGTGATTTTCCCCGACTCCTCGGGGGGTGGTCTGGGGCCCGTGACCTCCCCCCCCTCAGCGCCGCCACTGGCGCATTTTCTTGCGCCAGGGCAGCGAGGGGCAGCCGCGTTCGCGCTTCGCGTGCTGCGTGGAGCACTCTCGCGCCGAGCCCCCGTGGGAGAAGAGGAGGACGTGGAGGGCCACGATGCTGAGATGAGCGCGGCGGTGGCTGAGGGCATCGGGGGTCAGAACGGGATGCCACGGTGACTATAGGTTGAGGTCGGACATGTCCTCCTACAGGCGAATTTTGGAAGAAAAATCAAGAATTGTCAGGCCATACTCAAAGTACGCCCGCCCACGCCGGTGTGCTAAGATCCCCGGTGACTGGTTCACAATCTTCTAGTTCGCGCGCGGGGGGCCGCCCCTGCCAATTCTTAAGGTCCCGGCAAGGTCCCGGCAAGGGGCAAGGTCCCGGGCAGGTCCCGGGCAGGTCCCAGCAGGCTCCCAAGAGCGTTCCAGGAGCGCTTCAAGTGGCCTCCGAGCTCAACATGGCCCGAGACGGCCCAAGAGCGATCCAAGACGCCAAATATTGCCTCCAGACAGCCCAATGGCACCTGCAAGACGCCCCCAGAGGCCTCCAAGAGAACACAAGAGGGCTCACAGAGGCAGGAATTCGCGATTTTCCTTTAATTTTTGAAGGTCGGTCTTCGGCGGTCTCGCCTTTTCGGCTCACCGGCGCTCCAAGACGGCCCAAGAGGCTTCCAAGACCGCTCCGAGACGGCCCACGAAGCCTCCCAAGAGGGCCCAAGAGGGCCCACGACGGCCCCAAGACAGACCAAGAGGCGCCTGGGAGCGCTTGGGAGCGCTTGGGAGCGCCTGGGAGCGCCTGGGAGCGCCTGGGAGCGCTTGGGAGCGCCTGGGAGCGCCTGGGAGCGCCTAGGAGCGCCTGGGAGCGCTTGGGAGCGCCTAAGACGGCCCAAGAGGGCCCCCAAACCGCCCGAAGGGCCCAAGAAGGGGGCCAGGAACCGAAAAGTCCAGCCTTCAGCCCCATGGAGGCCCCCAGGAGGCCCCCGAGAGGCCCCCGGGTGCCCCCGAGAAGCACCCCGAGAAGCACCAAAGAGGCACCTTAAGAAGCCCCAAGAGGCTCCCAAACTGCCTCTCGGAGGCCCCGAGAGGCCACCCACGTGGGCCCGACCAACACCCATGAGGCCTCTGACCCACCACCCACCGACTCCGAAAAATGACAGCCGCCCAACCGCACCGCATCAATAAACGACGGCGGCGGTGCAATATGGGCCGGCGGAATGAGCGAAGCGATCCGCAGCCCCACCGAGTACGGCGTGTGAGATCCACAGCATGGTCTTCAATAGTGCTTTGTGTAAGTCTCCTCTCCAGCGCGCTTTTCATACCTACCTCTGCCTCTGAGCCCTCGCACCCCCTCCTAGGGTCCTCCCCGCGCCTCGCTCATTCCGACGGCGCGGGCGCCTTCTGGCCACCATTTCCGCCCCGAGACGACCCTCCTGTCACGTGCTAGCCTTCCAGGCGCCGCCAGGCGCTCTCAGACCTCTCCAGGAGCCCACTGGGCCGGCTTTGGGGGCCTCCTGAGGCTCTCCTGGGCTCACTTTCACCCTCCTTCAGGCCACTTTGAGCCGTTTCAGACGCCTGTCCACCCCTTTCCGAAACACATGCACCAGAACACCCCAACAAGCGAAAACATAGTAAAACACATAGAATGTTGATGATTCTGGCCTTCTCGCATTTCTCCTTGCGCCTCTCTCGGAGCTCCCGTGCATCTCCGCTGGCTCTTGCGGCCATCTTAGAACCCAGGCATGCTCTCTACGACCGTCCTAACAGCCTCGCGGACCCATCTTGGGCCGTCTGGGCGCCTTCTTGGCACCGTATTTCGCTCATCTGGGGCGCCCCCTCAGAGCCTCCAGGGGCTCTTCCAGGAGCCGCAAACAAACCCAGACTGTTTGTGTTTCCCTTCCGGTTTTCATCGTTCACCCCAAGTCGCCGCACTTGACCCATTCCAGCTCATGTTGGGGCCCCTCCAGAGGTGCCCCTGGGACGAACCCGACGGGTT